GTCCATTTGTGGGTAAGCATGGGTTGCAATATAACCCCATGTAACTCTAAACCTAACTTTTCCGGTGTTAGAAATAGATCAAGTTGATGGCATTTGAACTGGAGTGAATGGCTCATCATTATTACCATAGCTACCATATAGCTATGCATATAACCATCCTACGTTTCGTTCCTCCTCCCTTGTCTCAGGGGTCACAAACGTTGATGTATAATCATCTTTTAAGGGAAATAGGCCCTCTCCATTTTTCACACTCTCCAAATGTCTTGGCTTCACCCTGATCCTTCAGAAGGACACAAAGTAATTTTCAATGACTGAATTCCTCTATAATCTCAATTCCAAGCATCCCCCTCTCCAACCAATACTTATTACAAGTTTTAAATTTGCTCCCTTTAGAAATCTAATTCCAATTTATTTTATAATCATTTTATTGGGGGCTTATATAGCTCTTATCACAATCCATACATACATACACTGTGACAAGCACATTTGTACTACCTATGGTGCCATCATCATTTTTAAAACATTTTCTTTCTACTTAAGCCCTTGGGATCAGTTCATCATTTTTTCCCCTCCCTCCCTCACCATCCCTCCCTCATGAACCCTTGATAATTTATAAATTATTATTATTTTTCATGTCTTACACTGACCAATGTCTCTTTTCACTGACTTTTCTGTTGTCCATACTCCTGGAAGGGGGTTATATGTAGGTCATTGTGATCAGTTCCCCATTTCTCCCCCACTTTCCCCTTACCCTCCTGGTATCGTTATATAAATGTATTTATATATAATGATAGGGAAATAGATAAATATACATATATTTATATGTTGAGTATTAAGGTAGCAGACAGACATTGGGCCTCTACTCAAGTACTCAATCAATGCAAGAACACTTTGTTCAAAAATTTGACATTCCATGATGTTCACCTGCCTGACATGATCGCTGAAGACAAAATGGGTGCATAAGCAAATGTGAAGAAAGCTGATGGTGCCCAGCTATCAAAAGATATAGCACCTGGGGTCTTAAAGGCTTGAAGATAAACAAGCGGCCATCTAGATGAGAAGCAACAAAGCCCACAGGGAAAAAGTATACCAGCCTGTGTGATCATGAGGTGTCAATAGGATCAGGTATCAGGCATCAAACATCCAGACAAAAAACCTTATCAATGTGAACGAGGGGGAGCGCAATTGGAAACCAAAGTCCATCTGTATACAATTGGACATCCCCTCACAGAAGGGTCACACAGAAAAGATGAGCCAGTCAGGGTGCAGTACAACACCAATGAAACACACAACCTTCCTCTGTTCTGGATTCCCTGTGCTGTGAGCTCTTATCTGTACCAGTATACATGTTCTGGTGTAGCCAGATTTGTAGGATAGAATTGGAGTCATGATAGTGGGGGAAGTGGGGGTAGCACTAAGAACTAAAGGAAGGTTGTGTGTTTCATCTGTGCTATACTGCACCCTGACTGGCTCATCTCTTCCTTGTGGCCCTTCCGACAGGGGATGTCAATTGACCACTGATAGCTTTGGGTCTCCACTCTGCCTTCCCCCTCATTCCCATTGATATGATTTTTTTTTTTTTTGGTGTTTGTTTTGTTTGGGGTCTTTGATGACTGATACCTGATCCCATCAACACCTCATGATCACACAGGCTGGTGTGCTTCTTCCATGTGGGCTTTGATGCTTCTCAACTAGACGGACTAGACTGTAAATCTTTCCAGAAGCAGACTGCCTCATCTTTTTTCCAAGGATCACTGGGAGGTTTCAACAGCAGCCTTTCAGTTAGCAATCCAATGCTTAGACCACTAAACCACTAAGGTTCTTTAAAACCTGTAGCAGGTGAAAAGTAATTGGCTTCCCTTTAAATCTGTGGCCACCAAGCTGAATTCCTACTACATTTCCCTAGCCCATTCACTGTCCTACCCTCCTAAGATTACTGTTTCAATTTCATACTACCTCTCCCATAATCACTCTCAACTGATGATCCTGCTTCAGGTTTTATTTAAGAAATCAAAGCAATCTGAAAAGAGCTATCATACGTACCTGCCCTAACATCTATTCACACAATTGTACCTGTACCCCTCTCCCTCCCCTTCTGTAACAGTGGATGAACTACTTATGAGAACTACTCAGTACTATTTAGGAGAACTAGGTTCACTACTCTTTCATCTACTCAAGGATGTTGCTCTAGCAATTTTTTCCCCCCACTCTTCTCCTGGTCACCCATTTTTCCCTTTTTACTCATTTACAAAAATTCCAACCAGTATATAAGCATATACAGTATTCTCCCATACTAAAAAAAAAAAAAGCTCAACTCTCCAGCTATCTGCTTCTTCTTCCAACTACAATAAAACTCCTCAAAAGTCTTCTACAGCAGTGTCTCTATTTCCATTCACTCCTCTCTTCAACACAAAGTAGCCACTCTGCTCCCAAAAAAGCGCCTCATAAAGGCTACCACTGGCCTTCTTTGTGTTGCCAAATACTCTCTCCGATCCTCAGTCCAATCTGACGCAGTCCATCAGAAACACAATGAAGTACAACATCCTTCTTCAAAGACTTTGTGACAATGCTCTCTTGACACTACCTACACCAGTAAATTCTTTCTCAGTACTCTGATGATCCTTGCCACTCCTCAGTTTCTAATCAGTGCTCCAGGATGCATTCAGTTAAATACCTCTTCTCTCCCTTACAGACCATATCCACCCTGAGGGCTTTAAAAAGCATCTGCAGCACATTGAAGATGTCCACATTTTATCAACAACCTGGACTGCGCTTAACTTCAAATTTGTACATCTAGATATTTTTATATTTAATGGTTATAATATACTTAATAGGTATAAAATTCCCCCAAAACTGTCTTCTACAAATTTTTTTATTCATTACGGGCACCTCCATGCTCCTCCTCAGGTCAAAAACCCTAAAGTTATTCTTGACTCCTTCCACATTCTATACCAATCTATCAGCAAATGCTGTTTATTCTACCTTCCAAATATAGTAAAACTCCTATCTCCTCTCACCATTGCAGCTGCTACAACCCTAGTTCAAGCCACCATTACCTCTCACCTACTGGCCCCTGCAGTCTAGTCTCAAAAAAGTACACAGGGTGATTCCGTTTAAAAGATAATTCAGATCATGTCCCTTTTTCCGACAAAGCTCTCTATCAGCTTACCATTTCCCTCAGAGTACAAGCCTACAAAGCCCAACACAATCTGATCTTTGTCCTTTCCTCTTGGCCATCACCTCCTACTATGTTTCCCCTCCATTCTCACACTGCTTTCTGGTGCCCTTGGATGTCTTTTGGTTACACCAAAGAGGTTCCCCCAGGACCTTGGCACTCACTTCCTTCAGTTTTTACTCAAAAAGTAAAGGCCGCAGGAAAGCCTTCCCTAACCATCCCCTTGTACAGTAACAGCTCCCAGCTCCCACCCTACAGCGCTCTTTTCCAGTTATTCTGCATCGGGCTGTCAGCTTCTCACATTTAGCTGGTTGCCTGCCTCCCTCCACTGAAAACTAAGTTTCAAAAGAGAAGAGATTTTGTCTGTTTTTCTCATTGGCATCCTCAATTGCTAGAGCAGTGATCAATAAATTATTTGAATTAATAAAGCACAGCTAACTGCCGCCACCACCACGGTCAGTTTGTCATACTGTGGTGGTACCGTGGCTGTAACAATGGGCTCAAGCACGACAATTCTGAGGATGGGGCAAGGCCAGGCAGCATTTCCTTCTGTTCACTGAAAGTTGAAATCTACTCACAGAGCCTAATAACAAATTCGGCCAATCTATTTAATGACATCAAAATCTAAAAGAGGCCTCAAAGTTAACACACCCAACAAAATAAAGCCTGACAAACTTTGACTTAAAGTTTCCAAAATTAGCATCTTATAAATTGTATTACCCTCTTCCAAAGGGAGTAGTACTTTTTTTACATATGCAAATGTATCCAGAAAACAAATTTAGCCAGGGGAAAATTCATTAAAAATTGAATGATTTAATCTCATAAAATCCAACATAATATGATAAATTAGAAACAAGAGGTCATTTCCTTTGGGTTTTTTTGTAGAATTGTGGAATGGCTCAATTTCTGCAGCAGCAAAATGCTGTGTCCTAAGGATGAACACCTATGAGTGCATAACAGGTCAGCAGCCACATCAAGTGTGGGCAGAGGGGCAGGAACACACGTTTGAACTGAAGGAAGCTTTGAGAAGGCCTGCAGGCTTTCTGGGCGCTTTTCCTGAGAACTCAGGATGGATGTGGGAATACGTCCATTTCAAGGAATTCCCCCACACACTACCCAGGGGAGTAGAACTGAGCACCTCCAGGTTCTGAGGTGGAAGCGTTGCTCTAGACTGGGTTGGTACTGTACTAGAGGGAAAGCACACACACTGTAAAGATAAAACCAGAGAGCTGATTTAAAAATCAGACTGTTCACAAAGGAAAATGATCAATTCCCAGAGTGAAAATTATAGCGCCTCAGACAAACAAGCAGTCTCCAGCAGGTGAATTAAAACAACAAAGCCATGATTGGCTGAATGACAATGAAGGAAGTTGAAGGCAGCTATCAGCCAGCAGGACTAGTGAATTTAATGGGCCTGGTGGCTTAGAGGCTTTCACATTGGGCTGCTAACCCACAAGGTCAGCAGTTGGACCCTACCAGACACTCCACAAGAGAACGATGAGGGTTTCTGCTCCCACAAAGATGGATGGCCTGTGGAAATGATTGGATGGCAGTAGGTGGCGGAGGTGGTTCTACATATATGTAATATTAGCCTGACTTGTTACGAGTATTTAATTGTAAGGGTACATGCTTTTCTGTTAATTACAGGATGGTCACAAGATAATGGCAGGGCATACTTTTCTGGGCACATAGTATTAAAACTGCTTTCTCAACCATGTTTACTTTTACCCCCATAGGGTCCATTGTAATACCGATTTATTGCTAAATACGAGGCTTTAAGGGCCTCGTATCATTTCATATCCTTGCCCTTGTTTGACCATAGAGGATGGCCCACAGGAAACGAGTAGAGGAGCATCCTGCATCTGCCCGACCACAAAGAAAAAAGTATTCCCCTGAGGCATACGGTGCGGGCGATGGACGGGTCTCTCTGCTCCTGTAAAGAGTTAGAGTTGGAAACACACAAGGACGGTTCTACCCTGTCCTATACAGGGTCGCTATGAATCAACATCGACTCCCAGGCAGTGAACTTAAAGTTTGACGGGTATATGGTTAAGTCAACACACCGGTTAAAGAAAACCCGCTGTTAGAAACTGTAATTTTAAAATTCAACATGGATTCCACACTCCTGTCAAGCTTTAAGACTGGGCTAATGCTCTGCTCACACCGAGAGTGTGATTCTCGACTCACATACAACACTCAAGTCCTAGGGTAGGGAAGACACGTTACCCTAAGAAGAGCAGGTTCAACTGGTCTTTTCCTTGGGACGCGCAACACAGCAGGGCCAGGAATTCTGACATCGGACCTAGACGCCAATTCCACAAACTTCTCTCCCGCGCGGCGGGACGCGCGCCCCAGCGTCGCCGGCGCACAAAGTTCGCATCAGCGGCAGGAGGCCCAGATGCCCCACCTCTCCCTTTGAAGTCCTGGCGCCACCCCCTGTCCTCCGCGGGTCGGCGCGCAGCGTTTCAGCCCACCCACCTGGACGCACGCATGCGCGAGGACGCGCGCTGCCGCAGAGCACCTCGGGAAGTGTAGTCTCGGTGCGGGTGCCGGTGGGCCGCCCGCGTCCCACATCCCTACCGACTCCGGAGATGTCAGAACACTCTCTCCACTCCGGTCCTTCTTGCCATCTTCACACCTGTCCAGTCGCCTCCCACTCACGCTCCATCCCCAAGCGCTGAGCGTCGGTCAGGGCACGCCCCGAGGGAGAACGCGAGACCCCCTCTTCCTTCAGCCGGCGGCGCTGGGGGAGGCGGGGTCCTCTGCCCGCCCCCCTCTGCCGCCCTCTCCGCCTCCCCCTCCCCT